AATATAGCATCCTCGGTAACTTGTGGGTCTCCTGTGTATGTCATGGGAAATCACTCCACTAGACAGAAGGCATTTCCACATATTTTTCCTAGATAATCCCATCTCTGTTTTTTGGCTTCTATTCAGATGACTAAGGGAATCTATGAGTCACGTTCTTAATTTCTTTTTTTTTTTTCTTTTTGAGTTGGAGTCCCACTCTGTCACCCAGGCTGAAGTGCCATGGCACACTCACAGTCACTCCAGCATCGACTTGCTAGGGTCCGGTGATCCTTCTGCCTCAGCCTTTCAAGTAGCCAGATCTACAGGCACACACTACCACGCCCGGTTAATTTTTTGATTTATTGTAGAGCCAAGGTCTCGCCAACTTGCCCGGGCTGGTCTCAAACCCGCAGGCTCAGGCATTCCATTTGCCTCGGCCTCCCAAAGTGCTAGGATTACAGGCTGAGCCACCGAGCCTGGCCCACATACTTAATTTCTTAAAACCTTTCTGAGATATTTATTAGCAGAAGTTCGTAAGACAGTCTCAGCATTTCCTCTGGAGCATGTTTCCCTGACAGTGAACCTCTTGCTTAACAGGCAAATGCACAGAGACAGAAAGTAGAAGAGAAATCACCAAGGGGCCAGGAGGGAAGGGAAGAATGGGAAGTTATTATTTAATGGGTACAGTATTTCTGTTTGGGATGATGAAAAAGTTCTGGAAATGGATAGTGGCAGTGGTTACACAAAACTGTGTATGTACTTAGTGTCACCGAATTGTACACTTTAAATGGTTAAAATGAGCCAGGCATAGTGGCTCACGCCTGTAATCCCAGCACTTTGGGAGGCTGAGGTAAGAGGATCGCTTGAGGCCAGGAGTTCAAGACCGGTCTGGGCAACAAAGCGAGACCTCATCTCTACAAAAAAAAAGAAAAGAAAAAGAAAAATTAGTCACATGTGGTGACGCATGCTTGTAGTCCCAGCTACTCAGGAAGATGAGGCAGGAGGATTACTTGAGCCCAGGAGTTTGAGGTTGCAGTGAGCCGTGATCATACCACTGCGTTCCAGCCTGGGTGATAGAGTGAGAACCTGTCTTTAAAAAAAAAAAGTTTCATGTTACATATATTTTATGTTACATATATTTTACCATAATTTTAAGCTCTTTGAAAACATTAAGCATGTGACTCATGGATTCCCTTGGTCATTGAGCAGAAACCAAAAATATGGAGGAGATTATCTAAGAAAAATATTTGGAAGAGCCTCTTGTCTAATGGAGCGAATTCCTGTGACATACACAGGAGACTCACAAGTTATTGAGGATGTTACATTTGCAGAAACACTGCCAGCATAGCCCAAAAGAGACAGGAAGAGGACGAAATAAAGGCTGGCACTTCCCAAAATTCTATAGGTAGGAAACAGGCTGACGAAACTGCTGAGCTGCAAAAAATGTACTGCCTTTCATCAAAAAGGAAAGATGACTTGGAAGGTAGAACCTTGAGCCAGATGGTGGAGCCACAAACTCAGATGACTAATTTCTAGGCCTTCAAAGCTGCTGGATATGTGTATATATTTTAGAGATGGGTCTCACTATATTGCCCAGGCTGGAATGCAGTGGTTATTCACAGACACCATCATCGCACACTTTTGACCTCAAGTGATCCTCCTGCCTGAGACTCCCAAGTAGCTAGGACTACAGGCGTGTGCCACCATGCCTGGATTTGAAATGGCTTAAGACCATTGATTCTTTTTTTTTTTTCTTTCATTATCTCCATTTTTTGAAGGGGAAAGTTTATAACTGTTACCTTATGCCCACCCACCATTGTATTTTCATAGCAGGTAACTTGTTTCTTGAGTTTCACACATTCACAGATTTTAAAAGAATTGTGCACAAGGATGAATTATTCTCAGAGCCTCCTTCATGCCTAGTTTAGATTATGAGATTTCAGAATTTTAATCTGATAAAATGCAAATGAGATTTTTGGCTTTGAGTTGACACTTTAGTGGGATGAGGTGAATGAGATGACACTTTCGGATGAGGTGAATGTATTTTGCATGCAGGAAGGACATAACTCTTTGGAGGCCAGACAGCAGACTATAACAGGCAGAATCAGCACTTCCCAAGAGGTTCATATTCTATCCCTAGAATATCTGGGGATGTTTATGATGCGTGGCAAAGAGGAATTGAGGTTGCAGAGAAACGTCCAAGTTGCAAGTCAGCTGACCTTTAACAAGGAAAGTGGCCCTGGATTATCCTAGTGGACCCGGTGGACTCACAAGAAACCTTAAAAGTGGAAAAAAGAGGCAGAAGAGGTGACAAGAGTGATGTGATGCAGAAGGACCCAACTGCAGTTACGGGGTTGTTGCTTGTTTGTTACGGGTTTGTTGTTTGGAGAGAGTGTTGTTTGTTTTTGTTTGGAGAGACAGGGTCTCAATAGTTGCCCAGGCTGGTCTTGAATTCCTGGGCTCAAGGGATCCTCCCACCTCAACCTCCTGGGTAACTGGGAGTACAGACACTCACCACCACACCTGGCTTTGTAGTTACTGGCTTTGGAGGAAGGGGGCCATGAGCTGAGAAATATAGGCGGGGGACGGCAAGAAAAGTTTCTCTAGAGCCTCTGGAAAAGCACACAGCCCGCTGACACCTTGATCTTAGCCTTCTGAGATCTGTGTCAGACTGCTGACCTACAGAACTGTAAGATAATTGTGTTGTTTGAATAGAGTGTGGGGCCAGGTACAGTGGCTCACACCTGTAATCCCAGGACTTTGGGAGGCTGTGGCAGGAGGATCGCTTGAGCCCAGGAGTTCAAGACTAGCCTGGGCAACATAGCAAGACCTGGTCTCTACAAAAAAACATTTTTTGTAATTACCCGGGTGTGGTGGCACACACCTGTAACCCCAGCTACTCAGGAGGCTGATACAGGAGGATCACTTGAGCTCAAGAGTTGGAGGCTGCAGTGATCAGTGATCGTGCCACCGTGCTGCAGCCTGGTCAATAGGGTGAGACTGTGACTCAAAATAATATAAGTGTGTGATAATTTGTTATAGCAGCTATAGAAAACCAATTCAAGGAGCTTAGTCCCTTCCTCTACCAGTAGAAAACCATGATCGGTTATTGTTCAGCAATTTCACTCCCCTCAGCCCTCCCCTGTGAAGAGTTTAGAGGAGGACTTCTATGCATAACTGCTATTGGGCCTCAACATGTCACTTTCTTGACCAATAACATGTTAGCACATGGGTAAGCACAAGTGGTTTCACTTGTGAGAAAAGCCCGTCTCAGATGGTCCCAGAACACAGGGCACGCCCCTGAGCTTACGCCGGTCTGGAACCAAACCCAGCTCACCTGCAGCCCACAGCAGAGCCACCCAGTCAAACTCAACCCATTTCAGTCAAAACAGTTGACCTGTGGGCCCTGAGTATAAGAATAAATTCTTGTTGAAAGGCCATTGAGTGTTGCAGTTGTTTGTTACGCAGCATTGTGATTGGGAATGAAACTAATACCAAGAATTCTTGACAAGACATGCTACTGGGGAATCCGCTTTTATTAATTCAGTCAGCTGGGCACAGTAGCTCATGCTTATAATCCCAGCACTTTGAGAGGCCGAGGTGGGAGATTTGCTTGAGCCCAGGCAACGTAACATGACTTCTCTATACAAAAAAATCAAAAAATTACCCGGGTGTGATGGTGCACACCTATAGTCCCAGCTACTATTGAGACTAGATCGAGACTGGGTGAACTACGTTTGTGCCACTGCACTCCAGCCTGGGCAACAGAGTGAGACCCCCAACTCAAAAGGCTCCAGTGTGTATCCATGTGCACATGCATGGAGGTATATTTGTGCACACGGGGTCAACCCACACACAGCTCTGAGTAAGTGGGAAAGCCCCACGCACGGCCCTGTGTGAGAGCTGCGTGCAATGTGAGGGATCCTACACGCAGGCTTCGTTTCCTGGTTTTCCTTCTCAGAACTCACGCATCCCTTCAGAGTCCAGCTCTGGACTCAAAACCTACGTGAAATGTTTCAGCTGCCCTCCCTTCTTCCAGCAGGGCACGTAAAAGGAACCCCACAATCCTAGGAGATGCCAGCATATTGGGACCACATAGAGTGCCAGCCTTAGGAAGAGGGCACCACCTTGGAAGACGGGCGATGACAAAGGCTTGACCCAGCAGGCGTCAGGGGAGGCTGCCCTCCCTCCACCCCACCCGACACGCGCACGGCCAGGGCACTGCCAGCAAGGACTCACGCCCCCATAGACAGCCAGGTTCTCACACACATTTTTTCATTCCCAGCCCAGGTCTTCATTCACAAACCTCTTACTGGAGACCTTCAGCCAAGACCTCCTTATGAGTGGAGAAGTGGGGAGCGGTCCTTGGAAGACTCTCTTCTCCACCCAGACCCAGGACTCAGTGCTTTTCCACTCTATCCTTTCCCCACCCCGCTGACCCCCAGTTCTTACATCTGCAAGAGCCTTTTGTCCAGGGCTCCCTGCAATGAGACCATCCCCACATCTGTGCTCTCACCTGACCCCGGATGGCGCCATTCCAGAGTGGATGTTCTCTGGTTTAGCCTTTCTCATACTGCCAGAGCACCGACGAAGGACCTGGGAGGTGCACCCCTAAATCCACACAGAAGAGCATGTGGTGTGGAGGTATATAACTATTCACCTGAGTATGAGTCTGCGTCCTTAACCATATGCAGTTGGGGAAGAGGCAATGGACAGTCAGATGTCAGGACTGGACGAGATGGCCATAAGCAGTGAAGGCTGAGCAAGTCCCCAGATGTGCCCTGGCACTGGCCTCAACGGATCCAGGCACAACATGAGCAAAGCTGGGCTCAATGCACCAGGAGGGAGTCGCCCAGAGCCAGAGAGACTCAGACGGGTGTTGCTCCAGCACTTCTTGTGGAGTTTCAAGCCCCAGGTGTAGTTGGCACCGTTTGCCCTTATCTTAAGGCCTGGTCCATGCCTACCACATATTCTGCAAGGCCTAGCTGGGAAATCTCAAATGCCGGCAAAAAACAAGTGCAAATTCAGCTTTATTAGTAAAAAGGAATGGCAGATTTAACTGGAAATCCACACTTGGTCCAAACAGCAGCACCAAGCAGAAAGAAGGGAGAGAGAGGAAAAACACTGCAGAGAGAAAGGAAAGGGGAAAGGGAAGGGGGGAAGTGGAAGAGGAGAGGAGGGGAGGGACGGACTACAGATCAGGGTCTGAATAAAGACATCGTTTTGGAAGTGAAAGATTCAAGGCTCCAGGTGCTGGGAAGAGAGTAGGGAGGGGAGGGGTGGCCATGGAACCAGCGTCTAGAAGGGGAGTTGTTCTTCCACAGGGATGTTGAGGATGATGTCCATGTCTGGGGTACACCTGATGGGAAGCATCAGAGGCAAGTAAGTGGCTAATAGGGTGTCAGAGTCGAGGGGCAACTCTCAGGGAAGTCCTGGTACTTACTTGTGGGCACCAATCCCAAACACAACCTGTGACCTCAAAGCTCAACTGCATACACATGCCACCCACAAGCACAGACGATGATGTCAAAAATGGAAAAGGAGGCCCAGAGTGGTGCCTCATGCCTATAATCCAAACTCTTTGGGAGGCTGAGACAAGAGGACTGCTTAAGCTCAGAAGTTCAAGACAAGCCTAGGCAACATGGTGAGACCTCATCTCTAAAAAAAATTTTTAAAACTAGCCAGGTGTTGTTCAGGTTCGGTGGCTCAGCCTGTAATCCCAGCACTTTGGGAGGCCAAAGCAAGTGGATTGCCTGAGCCTGTGGGTTCGAGACTAGCCTGGGCAACTTGATGAGACTTCATCTCTACAATAAATAAAAAATTAGCTGGGCATGGTAGCGCACGCCTGTAGTTCCTGATACTTGGAAGGCTGAGGCAGAAGGATCGCCAGAGCCCAGCAAGTCGGTGCTCAGGTGGCTATGAGCATTCGAGCCACTGTACTCCAGCCTAGGCAACGGAATGAGACTCCATCTCAAAAAAAAAAAAAAAAAAAGAAAAGAAAACTAGCCAGGCATGGTAGCAGGTACCTGTAGTCCCAGCTACTCAGGAGCCTGAGGCAGAAAGATAGCCTCAACCCAGGAGGTCAAGGCTGTGGTGAGCCATGATCATGACACTGCACTCCAGCCTGGATGACCTTTACTCCGAAAAAAAAAAAAGGAAAGAAAGTGGCATTCTTTATTTACCACAAGATCAGATACCTTGAAAGGGAACCATGTAGACAAGGGACCAGGCCAGTCCACGGAAAGGCAACACAAGCAGCACCCGGGAGCTCCTTAAAAGGGCAGAATTGTGAGCCTCACTCCAGACCTACTGACTGGAACAGGTTCCTTTTAATGAGCTCTGCCGGTGCTTTCTTGCATGTTCTAGTTGGAGCTCTGCTGGCAGCATGCTGTCCATGCTTTAGGAGGGAAAAGCTGCTTCTCACTCCTGGCACTCCCTTCCACGTGGAAAGGCATTACCAAGTGTATCGCTCCAGGCCTCTCTCTGCCCCCTTATTCCCTCTGCTCCAGGGAAGAAGGTATGACTGCCCAAATGGAGAGTCTACAGAAAAAAAGAGCATGGGTAGCCAGTCCCTTCCTCTCTCAGCAAGGAGCAACCCACAGGACTCCCCTCTCCTCGGCCACAAGGACTAGTTCTAGCCAGGTCTAGAGTCTCCACGACCAGGTGGTTCCCTCTGCCTAATTCTGGGTTCACTATTCAGAAGTCAACGTGCCTAGAGGTATAAGCCCCATTCTCTAAAATCAGCTCCACCAGAAAAGTGGTCACCTGGCCCACATGCACCTTATACCTTTCCTTCTCGTGCACTGTGTTCAGAACTCAGGATAAGGCAATCGGTGCTTACTTATCACACCCCCCTGGGACCCTGGGACTACCAGCGACAGTTGATCTTCCTTCAGCTCCCGTCACCCCCTTCAGTTAGCAAACATCCATGCATCCTTCAGACCTTAGTTCAAACATCACATCCTCAGGAAAACCTTCCTGACCGCCAGACTCACTGCCCTGAGAGGCACTCCCATGCCATGTGCTCTCAGCAGCACTAGGCATGGCTGCAACTTTGCATTTCATTGAGGCTCTTAGCAGTGAATGTCTGCTTTCCTCCTGGGTTCCATGGGGGCAGGGTCAAGGGTTGTTTTCATTCACATGGTGCCTGGCACTTCATAAATGTAATATTGTTAAGAGAGAGAGAGAGAGAGAGAGAAGGAGGTTGAAGAGGAGAAGGAAGAAAAAGGATAGGAAGAGGAAACAGACACAGATGAAGAAAAAAAGTTAAATAATTCTCTGATGTCAGACTCTGCCACACATGGTCCTGTGGTGCCATCATGGAGAGACCTGGCCTGAAGGACCCAACCCAATAGAGTCCTGCTCCAAGGGAGGGCAGCAAAGAGTTGGTTCTGGAAGGAAGTCTTCCCTTGGACCCAGAAGCCTGCCAAGTGAAGAGGATGCCCTTCTCACCTCGTGGCTTCTCCCATGCTGCCCTAAAGCCAACCACCCCCACTTGGCTATGCCATCCTCAACAGCCCAGAAGCAGAGGGGTGCACCCACTGGGTTGGCACGTGGAATCCAGGAACTAGAAGGGTCTTGGAGATTGCATAGCCCAGCTTTGTGTACAGATGGGAAACTGAGGCCCTGATGGGAAAGGTCACATCCACCCCTGGTCAGCAGCAGAGCTGAGGTGGACACCCAGGTCTCCTCCCTCCCTGGAGAGTTCTGCTGTGTACACCAGGCCGCCTGAGAACAGAGTCTCTCCGAGCCCAGAAGATAACTAGCTTAAGAGGCGGCTGCAAAAAGATCACATACTTGGGTCTCCGAAGCAGAACATCCGCAAATACAATCTCTCGGGGTTCCTGGATCTGGGCATGGAGGGCTTCCACCTCGGCCCTTAATATGGGCATTTCCTCCTCAAACTGGTCAATAAACTGAGGGGGCAGGAACAGAAGGGGAGAAGTGAGAAACTACATGTCCCCCAACCAAAGGGAGGAAGGGCAAAACGGACAAGGAGCACGGATATCTGGGAAATGGCATGGGCACTGACACTGGGATAAGCGGTACTCCAGAGAGGGGTCCTCCTGGGCATGGTAGGGCCGGTTCACAAGCTAGTGACGATATTCAGTGGTGCTGGAGGAGGCGAGAGACTGTGGATAATGCAGACAGGCAGAGACAGAGTGAGATTGCTCTATCATGAGACTCAGTGGGGCTGGCAGAGACGGTGAAGGGCACTCACACTGAAATCTGACGAAGGGACAGGATAAAAATTCGAGAAGGCAGTGATGGTAAAGTTCATTAACATGAACACAGGTGTTGGTCAAGGACAAGAATTAGGGGGTGAAGATGGACGGGGCTAATGGGTGGGTGATGCCTGATGATACCGCTAACGGGTCACAGCCCGCGATCCGGGTTGACGAGGCCAGGCACCAATCCCCCTCCCAGGTGAATGACAAACCAGGGACAAAACTGGCACTGGCAAGGAGAAAGGGCAACACCAGGGTCAGAGTGCCAGGGACGGCCTGACTCGACAGGCCGGAGGACCCCCGCCCACGGCTCCCTCACAGGGGATCCGCCGCCTTGGCTGCCACTCACTTCTCTGAGCCTGCGCGTGCATTTCAGTATGTCCTGGCTCTCCTGCATCTTCTGCAGAAGAGCCTCCTGATGGGGTTGCTGGGTTTTCTGCGGAGGAAGAAGAGGTCTGTGGGCAGCAGGACACGGTAGAGACTCAGGGGGCCTGGAGGCAGAGAACAGGAAGGGGCGAGGGCTGGCCCAGGACCTGGATGCCACCACAGCAGCCGGCTACTCACCACCACCAGGGAACTCAGGATTCTTTTCTTCTTCTTCTCGATCTCATTGGACAAAGACCCCAAGACCATTTTGCGCATCTTGCTGAGGTCATCCAGCTCATCCTGGGGGCCGGCAGAAGGGTGTTGGCTGCCAGTCCTGCCTCCCGCATGGTCCAGAGGGCAGGGCTGGGGCTCCCCTACCTGCTGGCTGTCCTTAGCCTGCTGCAGTTGGCGTGCAAGGGTGGCAATCTGAACAGACTTGATGGGATATTCATGGTCCATGTACGTGCTCAGGAAGCTCACCTCCTCGTGGGTCTTCTTGTTCTTGGCATTCAGTTGCTCCACCTGCTGTTCCAGGCCTGGGGATGGGTGAAAAGGTCAGGGGGACAGGAGACAAGACAGTCCCTCAAGGACCCCTCCCAGGAGGCCCAGGAGACAATGTTCCCTCGGCCAACAGAGACGGGGCTGAAGGGAGCTCACACGGGGCTGGAAGGTGGCGAAAATTAAGCCCCTGGAGAGTCTTCCACCTCTGCAGGAGAAGAGACAATGCTAGGTAGGAAAGAGAAATGAAGCTGGTGCAAGATCTCTAGACTTGGCTGTGCACAGCGTCTCATGCCAATAATCCTAGCACTTTGGAAGGCTGAGGTGGGAGGACTGCTTGAACCCGGAAGTTACAGACCAACTTGGGCAACACAGTGAGACCTCATCTCTACAAAAATCAAAAAATAAGCCAGGCATGGTGGCACATGCCTGTAGTCCCAGCTACTTGGGAGGCTGAGGGAGAAGGACCACCTGAGTCCAGGAGGTCGAGACTGTGGTTAGTTGTAAACATGCCACTGCACTCCAGCTGGGCAACAAAGTGAGACTCCAACTCAAAAAAACCCCAGAAAATCCCGAGACTAATCTCAGCTCTGCCACTCACATGCACCCTCTCTGGATCTCCGACTCCTGAGACATATGCTCCCAAGAAAGTGACACCAGGGAGATGGGCTACACTGGCTCCCAAGACAGAACCCACAGCAGGGTTATCACAAAGTCTGTCCTGCCTTCCTCCAAGTAGAGAGCCCTCAGTGTCTGAGGCTGCCTGACATATCGTCCCTCCCCTCTGTACGTGTCTGGTCTGCTCCGGGGAAAGAAACCACAGGCCTGGCAGGATGGAAGCTAGGAGACCTGGGTCCTAGCCCAGCAACTGACTCTCACAGGGACTTTGGCAAGAAACAGATCCCGGCTAGGACTGGATTCTGGCTGTCTAACCTCTAGCAAGCCACTTGGTCTCTCTTGGCCCCAGTTTCCTCATCTGTAAAATGGGAGGGCAGTCCCTGCCTCACAGGCAGCTGTAATGACTGAGCAAGAGTGTGCCCGTGACAGTGCAGACACAAGGGGCCTGGAGAGTGCTGAGTGCCTGGTAAGCAAGCGGTGAGCTCTGCTTCTAGCGATTCCACCTGCCCAGAAGGGAGAGGAGGGGCCTGCAGGTCTCTGAAAGGCAAGTGCCAGGCGAACCCCTGCCACTGGCCTCCCTGAGACACCGGGGTGAGGGGCGAGGAGTCAGTCCAGGATTCTTACAGCTCATCTTGCATTTCTCCTCTTCCTCCCACTCCTGAAGCTCGGACTTCAGCTGCTGCAGCCTCTTCTCATTCAAGTACTCCAAGACGTCAACGAGGGTCTGTGGGAGGGGCAGAGGGGAGTCCGCTCAAGGCCAGGCTCTGCTAGCTCACAGCTGAGCACAGCCTGCTGCAGCCACTCGCGCTTCCTCAGAGGGGTACCCAGGCCCAGCCCCACTCCCAGACCCAGCGGCCGCAGCACCCCACCTCACACCCACGCCCCACAGATGTTCGCCTCCCCTGCTGCCCCACCGCAGCCAAGGGCCCTGCCACACACGCGACAACACAGGACAAGCCCAGGCTTCAGTTTCTGCTCCCCTCTCCCATCTGAAACGCCCCCCAGTTGCATGGATTGTACCCCTAAAGCCACATACTCTCCCTCCCTACTGCCACCATCTGACTCAAGCTCTCTCCTCGGTCACACCCCAAATCCCGCAACAGCTGCCCCTAGCTGGTCCTCTCCCATCTGTCCCCCACGCGCAGTCAGAACAAGCTTTCGTCACAAAACAGTGGACCATGTCCCTCTCCTACTTAAAACCCTCTAATGGCTTCCCCCTGCCCTGTGAATTAGGCCCAAACTCCTTACCGGGGCTGAAAGGCCCTCCTCGGTCTGGACTGGGCCACCTGCCTCTCTGTACTCCCTTCCTGACCCCTCATTACCCAGCCACGTCCAGCAACATATGGCTCCCTGAGCCAGCCAAGCTACCTCTCACCCCGGGCCCTGGGCACTTGCTTCCTCTGCATGAGACACCTGCTCGATCTCTACCAGGTTTAGACCTACTCTGCAGGTTTCAGCCCAAGCATCACCTCCTCCAGGAAGCCTTCCTTATCCTCCCAAGCCTGGGCTAGAGGTCCCTCTGGGCTCCCCAGGTACCCCACGCCCAGCACAGCACACAACTCAAGGCTTTCTAGCTGCTGCCTGTGACCCCGCTAGAGTGAAAGCTTAATACAGACAAGGTGCCTCGCTGACACTGTTTCCCAAGGGCCCACAGGAGACACTCAGGGTGAACCAAAAAATGTAAAAATGGACCAACGGAGGAAAGTCAGACAACAACTTGTCTAAGCTTGAAGAATGATCTACCATGTTTCCTTGGGCTGAATAACTCTGTGTGCCCTTGACCATGGTGCCTGTTATAGACGAAATTGTGTCCCCATAAAATTCATATAGTGAAGCTTAAATCTCCAATGTGACCGCATTTAGACACAGGGCTTTATAGAGAGGTCATGAGGTGGGTCCTAATCCAGTAAGACTGGTGCCCTCATAAAAGAGGGAGAACCATGCCGGGCTCCGTGGCTCAGCCTGTCATCCCAGCACTTTGGGAGGCTGAGGCGAGTGGACTGCCTGAGCCCACAGGTTCAAGACCAGCCCAGGCAACTTGGCGAGACCTCAACTCTGTAATATATTAAAAAAAAATTGCCAGGCATGGTAGCACACACCTGTAGTTTCGGCTACTGGAAGGATCACCAGAACCCAGCAGGTTGATGCTGGGGTGGCCATGAGCATGCCACTGCACTCCAGCCTGGGTGACAGAGTGAGACTCCAACTCAAATAAAAAAAGAGGAAGAAACACCAGCACTCCCTCTCTGTGCACACAGAGCACAGTCCATGAGAGAACACAGCGAGAAGGTGGCCACCTCCAAGTCAGGAAGAGACCTTACCCAAAACTACCCATGCAGGCACCTTGATCCCGGACTTCCAGCCTCCAGAACTGGCAAAAAATAAATTGTTCTTTAAGCCACCCAGTCTGTGCTACTTTGTCATGGCAGCCCAGACAGCCTCACAGCATCCCCAAGTAGTCTGAACTCTCTCCACCCCACAGACTCCAGAGGAGCTCAATCCCTCCCCATCCTAGGTCGACTGCACCTGAAGGGAAATCACTTCTCTGTTAAACCACTTTTTCTGACTCTTCTGCAGCCCAAACTCCTGGGTCCCCTGTGAACGTTCTGCTCTCTCTCTGCAGTGTCACCAAGTTTCTCCCAGAGGAGGCAGAGGGTGCTCTCTGGGTTCTCCACAATCACTGTCCACCCACAGACCCTAACCTCACCACTGACTTTGGGTGCTAATAATGGAATGGTGGAAGGTGCACAGATCCTGGTGTCAGACGGCCTCAGTCCAGAGCCCATCTCTGACCCTGGCCACCTAGGTGACCTTGAGCAAGTTACTTCGCCTCCCTGCTTTTCCATTCCTTCATATATAAAATGGGGACAATTCCAGTGCACACCCCATGGAGTTACTGTAAGGAGTATACGAACCCATGTAAAGCACTGGTATTGCACCATGTAAGTTGCCGGGGGCAGTAGCTACCTTCTCTTGCACAGGCACAATACATGCCAAGTCCAACTCCCCCTGGGGTGGCTGCTCTCGTGCGCCACTTCACAGAGCTCAGAGAGACGAAGTCAACGGAAAGCGTCCTGGAGGGCGCGGCGGGAGGAAAGCCCCACCCGGGTCTGATTCCGAAGCGCAGGTGGGTGGAGCGACGGACGGCAGAGAGGCGTCCTCCGGATGGAAGCGCACGTGCACCGCCGGGAAAGGGCGGGAGGGGGCGCCCGAGCGCGCAGGAGGGAGGGCGAGCAGGCGCGCGTCTCACCGCCAGGACGTCCTGCTGCTGCAGCACTGCCCGCGCGTGCAGGGCCGCGCGGGCCTCCATGTCCTGGATGGTCTCGATCAGCTCCTCACTGAGCTTGATGAGGAATCTCTCGTGGTTCTGGAGCTCTCGGAGAGAGGTCTGCCGGTTCCTGAGCATCGTCTGCGGGCAAGGGAAGTGGGAGGCAGGCGGCGCCGGGGCTGGAGCCTCCGAGCCTGGGCACGCTTCCCTCCCGCCGGCGCCCGCCCCCTCGTGGCCTCCGTTGGTAAATACGGCCCCAGGGGGCGGCGGCTCCCCATTGTCTGCGCCTGAATCCTGGTGCTCAATTACTCATCCGTTCTGAAAAGCACCGGCTCCTATCATTTCACATCTCTGGGATGGGGAGGTGCATCTTACCACTGATGAAGTGTCACCACCTAATTAAGCAGACACTTTATTAGCGGGCAAATAAAATTAGGTATGCCTTAGCATCAATGGCTCTTAGAATCAATGAACTCAAGAAATAATAATAATAAACCCCCTGGGTAGGTACAAGGTGGCAGAGGGGATGCCATGTCTGAGGAGAAGCAAGGGAGGCAGAGTGGATGATAGCAGCCTCCATTTCCAGCCAGGCCCCTGTGGAAACAATGAGGGTCTGAGGGGTTAAGTGATTTGTCAAGGTCACACCAGCAGGTTCATAAAATCTGTGATAGGAGTAACAGTAACAATCGTTGAGGGCCCTGTGCAGGCCAAGGCTGTGCCTCACCCCAGGTGGCTGGTGGCATCAGTTCGTCTCCAACAGGCCTATATTCACTAATTCCACTTCACTGCTGAGCAGAGGCCCCATCTATCTTTCTCCTAGGATTTATCACCACCCAATGTAACAGATCTATTTCTTTTTTTTTTTTTTTTTTTTTAGAATTGGAGTCTCACTCTGTTACCCAGACTGGAGTGCAGTGGCCGCTCCTGGGCACCACAGCCTCGACCTGCTGGGCTCCAGAGATCCTTCCACCTCAGCCTTCCAAGGAGCTGGAACTATAGGTGCGCACTACCATGCCCAGCTAATTTTTTATTTTATTGTAGAGATGAGGTCTCACCAAGTTGCCCAGGCGGGTCTCAAACCCGCAGGACAGATCTATTTCTTATCGTTGTGTTTCTTCTTCTATTAGTATGGCACAGCCAGGAGGGTGGGCTTTGTTTTGGCACAGTTGTATCTCCAACATACAGGGCAAGGCCTGGAGTTCTGTGACTGGGGAGTGAATGAATTAGTGAGTGATTCTTTCAGTATCATGTGTCTCTCCATAACAGCACTCGCTCTGGGCACCTCCCTCGTGGCTGCATCCCCATCACCCAGCCATTCTTGGCACAGAGGCGGCACTCCCTCAAGAGGTGAACTGGATAGATAATTGTCCTGAGGCTGAGGATCCTACACCATCTCTATGAACAGACCAACTGGGTAGTCTCTGCTCCCTGCCCTTGTTTCTGGCTGTGCGACCTGATGCAAGTCACTTCTCTCCCCACACCTGTTTCCCCACCTGTAAAACAGGAATGAGCATAAGCATACCCTGTGAGGAGGAAGTGGGTCAAGTTTGGTAGCCATTAAGTGCTCAGTGCATGTCTGCTACAGCCATGCCCCTGTCCCCATACCCTGGGCCTCGATGCCTGCGGAGAGATGCTCCCCATACCTTCATTACCCGGGCTCTGGCCTGCATCCTCCCAGGATCCAGCTTTGTCCTTCTGTGCAGTTCTCGTGGATTCCTCAGCTGGTGGCTTGTCACCAACATGGTGGGCTTGGAGTGCAACGCTGGGGACAGGAAAGGGCAGGGAGAGGGTAAGGGTGCAGGCAGGGCTGGGCCAGATCCCAGGGAGAGCACCATGAACAAGAGGGGGCCCAGGCCCCAGTCCCACTTTCTCACAGCCTTATAATGTAACACTAGACAGAAGACAACACTCAGACCCGCCAATAAGCTCCTGGGACCTGCTCCAGGCCTTTTTTTTTAGGTACTGGCACAATCACAGCTCATCACAGCCTTGAACGCCTGGGTTCAAGTGATCCTCCTGCCTCAGCCTCCCAAAATGCTGGGATTATAGGCGAGCCACTGCGACCGGCTTGATATAAGAAAGGTAAGCCCAAGTGAGAGCAGAGACTATGACCACAGACAGAGGGGAAGACAAGCAGCAACGGGAGACAGCCAGGCACTCACTCCCACTCAGCCGTCCAGTCAGAGAGCCAGGAGCTCCCACTGTTCATGTCTTGCCAGTAGCTGACACAGCACAGGACCACAAGAACAGCAGGGTCTGGCCTGCCCATGTCCAAACCCCTGCTCTCCCACCAACCTGACTGGATGGGGGAGGGGTTAAGAACCAGAACTAATGAGCCAGAAAGTCTAGGTCTGAACCAGGGCTCTGCCTTCTACTAGCTGTGAGCCCTTAAACAGGTCACGTAACCTCGATGTCCCTCAGTTCCTCCATCTGTGAAAAGGGAATGATCTTCATGCCTACCTCACAGGGTAGCTGTGAAGATCAAATAAGAAGTTACTATACCTTAAGGGTGCTTGGAATGGTGCCTAGCACATCTTCAGGGATGGATACACCTGACCAGTTGTTGCTATTTTTTTTAATTTTTTTTTGAGTTGTAGTCTCACTCTGTCACCCAGGTTGGTGTGCAGTGGAATGATTACGGCCACCGCAGCCTCGACCTGCTAGGCTCAGGCAGTCCTTCTGCCTCAGCCTTCAAAGCAGCTGGAACAACAGGAATATGCCACCACACACACTGGGCTAAGTTTTTGGTTTATTGTAGAGACAAGGTCTTGCCAAGTTGCCCAGGCCGGTCTCAAACCCTTGGGTTCAGGCAATCCTCTCACCTCCGTCTTCCAAATCCCCTGCCAGGATTACAGGTATAAGCCACCACACCTGTACTGTAACTATTATTTCTAACGACCTGAGACAACAACACCGGACGTGGACACAGGAGCCACGCAAAACTCCAAACTGCTGTCTCTGAACTCCTAGAAGAACTGTGGTCATGCCAGATGGGGAGAATCGGAGTTTTGAAGGCATGTTCTCCAAATCCCTGCTTCCTCAGCCTGTCCTGCACTGGTCTGAGATCAATCAGCCAGGTGGTGGCCATGCTATTCTCAGTCCCCACCAAAGTTCCTGCTTCAGGAGCAACCCAGTTCATTTGAAAAAGATATTGACCGGGCTCGGTGGCTCAGCCTGTAATCCCAGCACTTTGGGAGGCCAGGCAAGTGGACTGCCTGAGCCCATGGGTTCGAGATCAGCCCGGGCAACTTGGTGAGACCTCATCTCTACAATAAATCAAAAATTACCAGGCATGGTAGCATGTGCCTGTAGTTCAAGCTACTTGGAAGGCTGAGGTGGAAGGATCACCAGAGCCCAGCAGGTCGATGCTGCGATGGCTGTGAATCTGCCACTGCAATCCAGCCTGGGTGACAGAGTGAGACTCCAACTCAAAAAAAAAAAAAAAAAAAAAAAAAGAAAGAAAAAGATAATAATTTCTGCAATAGATCAATGCCCTTAATTTTGGTACTAAGTATGGAGATGATAAAGTATGTTAATTTAGTGTTAAATTTATAAATTATCTGTATATGTCTGGCATTTAATTATATTAAGAGATGGAATGATTAATAGGTTAATCTGTGATTCTAATTTTAAGAGTGTAAATGAGATTTTGATTTAGATTTGTTTAAAGTTGAAAGGTTTAGAACACTTATTAAATATGTATAAATTACTTCTAAGAGAACATAAGATTACCCACATTTGGAAGTTTATTTATTAGTGACACAAGAATTATTTAAATACCCAACGGTTTTTGTTAATCAAACAGTGAATTATTTGCAAATAAAAATCAGCACTATTTGAAAACAAAAATGAATTTATTAAATGTTTAAATGTAGACTAAAAGGTTTAGGAGAATTTAACCAACCAAGTTCCACAACCCGCTTATAAGTGTTTGTAAGATTCATAAATTGAATGTACTTAATGAACATCCATAGTTTAAATATGAATATTTATTTTCATTAGTGGTAGTAACCCTGATTTCTCTATTTTTCTTCTGGTTTGTTTTTTTTTTTTTGGTCGTAATCTCACTCCGTTGCCCAGCCTGGAGTGCAGCAGCACAATCATGGCTCACCGCAGCTGCGACCTCCTAGGCTCAGGTGATCCTTCCGCCTCAGTTCCCAAGTAACTGGGACTCCAAGCATGCATCACCATGCCCAGCTAATTTATTTTTACTTTTTATAGAGACGAGGTCTCCCTATGTTGCCTAGACTGTCTCAAGCAATTACACCACCTCATTGCCTGTGAGTGGGGAATGTGAGATCAGCAATTCTCCCACCTTAATCTTCCAAAGTGCTGGGATTACAGGCGTGAGTCACTACCTGCCTACTTATCTTTTTAAATTAAACTTTGCATTTTGAGATAGTTCAGTTTCACAGTAGCTTTAAGAAATAATACAGGTCTTTTACAGAACAAAAGTGTTTCTTTTTTTTTTAGTAGGAGTCTCACTCTGTCGCCTAGGCTAAGGTGCAGTGGCATGCTCACAGCCACCACAGCCTTGATCTGCCGGACTCAGGCAATTCTTCTGCCTCAGGCTTCCAAGTAGCTGGAACTAGAGGTGCACACCACCACGCCCGGATAATTTTTTGATTTATTATACAGACAAGGTCTCACCAAGTTATAGCACGTGCCTATAGTTCCGGCTACTTGGAAGGATGATGCGGAAGAATTGCCAGAGCCCAGTGGGTAGATGCTGGGGTGGCCATGAACATGCCACAACACTTCAGCCTGGGCGACGGAGTGAGACTCCAATTCAAAAAAAAGAGAGAAGGCGGGCTCTGAATGCCAGCAGGACACAGCAGTGAGCCGAACAGCCACTCCCACCAGTTGAGCACCCACCAGTAACTCAGTTTAATGAGGTGGTAAGGAGGGACTGGTCACCTCCGGACTTCGCTCCCCTCCCCCACCTACCCATCTCAGTAAAGCAGTGGGAGCCTGGGTCTCCACTGCCACCCAGCATCAGTGAGCCAATTCAAGGCGGTGGGAAGGAGGCTACTCGGCATTGCACCCTCCCACCCGCTTTCTGGCTGTCAGTGTTGCCCACAGGGGAGCTGATCTCACATTCCCCACTCACAGGCAATGAGATGGTGTAATTGTATACATAGGTATTGAAAGGACATAAGATGAAGTCTATATACTCAATGAGCAGCCATTTAACATTGCCTAGATCTGTCATGTCTCTTTACCCTAGCCAAGGACAGAACCGGTTTCTCAGAGGTAGCTGTTGATAATTGCTTGTTTCGTAAACAAGTTGACCTAATCAGCTCTTCGTGACCTTCATGGCACAGTCCCCATCCACATGGCAAATGTCATGTGACTAACCAACCCATCTACTGCCGTTGAGCACCTGACGTCAGTACCTGTGCATACCTGCCCTCCGTGATGACAAGGAGCAGACCACCAACCAAGCACCTTAACAACCTGCCCCCATCAAAGGTGAATGTTTAAAAGCATTCAACCTCAAGTAGCCATTGCTTTACTAGACTCTAGTGTGGCCATGTGCTCTTTAAATTATGGCCACTCTCATGTTTCCTAAGCTTTGGCCCCCTCCCCTGCCTTGGGGAGGTGAATTGCTTCTCCTCTCTCTTTCTCTCTCTCTAATTTACTTTCTAGCCATTGCTCTGCTAAGCCATGGTCTGACCATGTGGCTCCTTGAGCCACGGTTGCCATGTTTACTAGCTTTGGCCCCCTCTCCTATCTTGGGGAGGTGAATCTCTTCTCTTCTCTTTCTTTCTTTCACTCTCTCTCTCTCTCCCCCCACCCCATTTACTTTTTAAATAAACTATATTTTCTACTCTAACTTCTGTGCAATTCTTTGCATGCTTCACACGGCACTGGATCACACAACCCCACCCCAGCGGGTCTGACCTAACATTTTGGAGGTCCTGCTGGGATATAAATTTTTGACCTAACATTTTTGGAGTTCCCACTGAGTTCTTTGACCTAACAGGTATATACATAGGTAGGTTACATTATCTAGGAAGTCCAGTTCAGGGTACTAAAAGAATATTGCAAAATATTTGATATTTGATCGGGCGCAGTAGTTCATGCCTATAATTCCAGCACTTTGGGAGGCCAAAGCAGGAGGATTGCTTGAGCCCAGAAGTTTAAGACAAGCCTAAGCAACTAGCAAGACATCGTCTCCACAAAAATTCAAAAATTATTCAGGCATAGTTGCACGCACCTGTCCCAGCTACTGGAAAGGCTGAAGTGAGAGAACTACTTGAACCCAAGAGTTTGAGGCTGCAGAGAACCATGATCATACCACTGCACCCCAGCCTGGGCAACAGAGTAAGAACCCAAACTCAGAAAATAAACACACACACACACACACACACACACACACACACACACACGGTGTAAAAAAAATGTATACACATTTTCAGAAAGGAAAAAACTGTATTGAAATTATAATGCTCAATATATACCAATAACAAAAGATGAATACAAGTCACACTGGGTAGACGGTTGCATAGGCCAGTTCTACTGTCCGGCCTGTCACATGGTGACACTAGTATTCATTTGATTAATACTATCTTGTGAGCGGATGTGTGTACATTTTTTTGGCACTCCCATGTATATGTATGTGTCTGTGTGTGTGCATGTGTGTGTACACAATATTAAAAGCAGTGTTGGGTCTGATACAGTTGAGCAGCAATGCTTTACATGGATCTTCTCATTTAATTCTTACACCAACCCTAGGGGGTACCTCAAGGAATGAACCTACACAAATATGCCCAACAGAGAAGAGGAGCAAAAACAACTGAGTGCAAGTGCAGGAAAGAGAGGCTTTTTCAGACATTGTACTGGGGCGATTGGACAACCACAGGCAAAAAAATGAACCTTCAGTTTCACAACTTATATAAAAATTAACTCTAAATCATCTTACCTATGAAGTCAGTATTAGTGTCCCCATTTCACAAATGAGAAAACTCAGGCTCAGAAAGATAAATGGCTTTCCCAAGTGAGTAAATGGCAGAGCCAAGATCTGAGCCCATGTCTGCCTGAAGCATGCTAGCCTTAGATTTCCCCTAGAAAGCATGATAACAATATGACAGAGATTATTCTTTTTTTTTTTTTTTTTTTTTGAGTTGGAGTCTCACTCTGTCACCCAGACTGGAGTACAGTGAACTAAGTTCACCAAACCCTGTTTTTTTTTTCCTCCTGGAAAAATGGATAGCCTACATTTTCCACGTTCCCTTGTGGTTATGGGTGGTCATGTGACTGAGTTACAGTACCTGTAATATGAGTGGGAGTGATATGTGTCACTTCAAATCCAGGCCCCCAAAAAAACTGTCATCTGAGCCCCGAAAAAAACTTGTCCATGTTCTTGCACTCTCTCTTCCCTCCCAGCCAGCTAAATACAAAAGTATCAGCCAGGCTCGGTGGTTCAGCCTATAATCCCGCGCCTTCGGGAGGCTGAGGTGAGTGGATTGCCTGAGCCCGCGGGTTCGAGACCTGCCTGGGCAGCGAGACCTCATCTCTACAATAAAAAAAAAATCATCCAGGTGTGGTAGCGCATGCCTGTAATTCTGGCTACTTGGAAGGCTGAGGCAGAAGCATCGCTGGAGCCCAGCAGGTCGAGGCTGCGGTGGCCGGGAGCAGTCACTGCACTCCTGTCTGGGCGACAGAGTGAGACTCCAACTCAAAACCAAACAAACAAACAAACAAAAAACATCAAATATTTGGAGATGTTTGTTACATCAGTTAACCTACCCTAATATGAATAGTGTCACCAAGGGCCAAGAGCGCTTTCCTGCCGCCACACCCACACCAGCCCCAAGTACCTCTGCCCACCTGACTGGACCCTAGCCAAAGTCTTCGTTTTGCTTTGACTGTAGCTGCTGGCTTGTCCAACTGGAGGCAGAGTAGATGCCTTGGTTTTCTGCTTGGACCGCTGCCATGGAAGATAATCCTATGGACATAACACAATCAATCACACAGCACAGTGGGTTCAAATCCCAGCTCCACCCTTTACAGATATCTGTGATCTCAAGCAAGTGACTTTGCTTCTCCGAGCCTCCGTTTTCTCATCTGTAAAGTGGATCTAATCATAAAACATACCTCGATGGGTTGGTGCAAGAATTCTGAGAGATGATATTTGCAAAGTATGTAGTATGTGCTCTATAAATATTAGCTATCACTTGTTTTATCAGCCAGCCAGAATTTATTAAGCACATCCAGGCTGTAAAGTGCTAAGAACTGTGAGAAACAGAAGGTATGGAAAAGACCCAATAACCACCCTCGGAAAACCAGAGTAGCAATCAGATATGAATAAGAGCAGGCTATGCCCTTACATTCTGATAAGACAGTGAGAGGAGAAAAATGACGTTCTGAGGTTTGCTCGGGGACCCACTGCAAACGTGCGACAGGCCTGGGATTAGAATTCAGGTCTCCACACTACATCCCTCAGGGCAGTCGGGACCGTGAGAGTCGGCGGCGGGCGGCCCCCGGGTCGGCGAGCCTCCTTCCCAACCTTAGCCCTCGCCCTCCCGGACTCACCAGAATCTGGAACTTGTGGGCCGTGGAGCGAGTCCCAAAGTGGGGGGGTCTGGAAAGAGTCGGGGCGGGGGAGAACTTCCATTATCCCAGCCCACGGGGCTGCAAGCAGCAAACTTCAAACGGCCGTGCAGTCTCGAACCCGCAGCTGCG